GCAGTAAGATTAATACTGTTTTTTTCCTTCATAGGCAATGAGCCTTTAAAGACTTTCTGGTAATGTGCATTAGTTACCACTAATACACTGCACCCTGCACTAATAACAGCGTGGTGGCATAAGGACAGCAGCCATTCCCCTTCTTGGCACATCCATGCGCGGCAAGAGTCAGTACTTAGAGGGAGGAACACACAGGCTTTTCTTCTTGAGCGTTACTCAAGTTTGGCAGAAGCCAAGTTAGGAGATGACAGACGATCTTGCATCCCAATCTGGGAATAAGGGAAATCAGGGAGACTAACATAACACTTGATTGCTTTGATCTGTCTGGGAAAACAGTTCCCCTGGGCAAGAGCTTTTTGTGAGCTAATCCTGACCTCTTTGTAAGACAAATATAGCAAGCCATTACATTAGTCCATTCAAAATATTTTGTAAGCAAGGCAAAGGCAGGCTATGCTTTTAATTTGATTGCTTCCAAGTTCACTGCTGTTGTGCTTGTCGGATCCACCGCAGACACTACAGGGGCTTCAGCCCGGGATGAGCAGGTCACCCCGGCGCTCAGCGCGCGGGTCCCTCCCCTCCCCGCTGCCACTCGGGCTCCAGTAGAGCTGCCCTTTGTTCCTACGCTAACTTGCAGCGTCTCCCGGTTCCAAGAATTTCTTTGTCTCTTAAGCGGTTTTCCATTAACACTAGCTGAAATTTAAGCTTGACTGTCGACTTCATATTATGAATTCAAGATAGGATTAATCAATTTTTAAGGAGGAAGTGAAAGATTTTCCCTTCCCTATGCAAATCAAGGCATCCTCACTCAGATCCAGCCCATTTTTGATCCTCTCATTTTTGAGTCAGCCCAGCTAGTTTATGTGCGTGCATTATTTGTCAGCAACTTTAGCTTGACCTGGCTAATCTAAGATGCAATTTTGTATTTCCTTTTTTTAAAAAAAGGAAAAACAATGTCACCCGTGATGAAGGCAGTGGAAAAGACAAATCCCAGCTAAGATAACAGTCTTTTCTTATCTGCACTAGCTCCCAAGGAGCATTATTAATATAAAGCATTATTAATACCTTACCCTTCCTAGTCGTACAGGTGCAGGCACCAGTTTTCCAAGTTCTTCTCTGCTTAGTGGGTATACCCTACTCAATTAAATCAAAAGCCATCTCTTCACCAGTACTGTCATTAATTAAAGCTGACATTCT